AATTATTATATATTTTTATTATTAAAATGATTTTTAATATGTCCTTTTAGTCAGTTCAAGTAAGGTTTAAAAGGCACATACATTCGGAGACAAATATTATCATTTGTGACGCCCTTATTTTCAATGTGAATTCACGTTTTATTTTTGATACTCCTCATGGTTTTCCAGATTCGTCAGTACTCCCAGGTAGAGACATAAAAATTTTTTGTTACATTCTACTTCCTATCTATAATGGCAAGTTGTGTATAATCACCTTATTGGAATGCTCCAACGTTGAAGCATTAGTGCAATAGTACAGTGCCTCGTTAGTGTTCCGAGAAGTACAGTATATTTCTTTCTTTCTACTATATCAACTGAGCCATGGGGCCGAAAATCATTACTTTGTATTTCATATTAATAGCTCTTTCTAGTGATCATGGTAATTATTGAAAAGATTTCCAATATTTGAGATGTATTCTTTTTACATGCTATAAGAAGATCTGAATTTTAATTTTTTTTTTGTTTTTCTGACAGTAGGTGGAAGCATCGAAAACCACCGTGTGAGACTTGAACTCACTAAACCACCTCTTAAGAATGAATGGAGAAGATTTCCACAGCATTGTGAAAACTTCATTCCAGTAATCAGAGGAGAGAGGAGAAAAAATAGACTTAGTACCTAGCGAGCTAGATTTATCTAAGCCAGAAAGCAAGGGCGTACATTAGGGAAATTGGGTTATAGTACCTAGCGAGCTAGATTTATCTAAGCCAGAAAGCAAGGGCGTACATTAGGGAAATTGGGTTATAACTCAAAATACAGGATGTACCCACTCTACAATAGTGGATATGCATATTGTTCATACATAAAATTAATAACATAATTTAATACTTTATTGATCTATCCCTATAAAACAATAAAAAAAGCACTATGCTTTCCTCAACAGACTTGGCAATACGATATATACTCGTATATAACACACACACACAAATGTAAGCATTTTCCATTTCAATCAATTATCTAAGACTCTTTGTTCTGCTATTAGACCGGAAAAGATTTATAAGTGGTGATTATTTTATTTTTAAATTTAATTAGTAAAATTAAGCCTAATTATATATCTATAGAAATGTGAATTTAATTATCCAATCATATGTACATTAAAATTACTTCCAAAACATGTCGTTGAAAATATGGTAGCCGAAGGTATTTATGTGAAGATGTGCCGCTGTTTAGCCGAAAATAAATATTTAATGTTTAAAATAAACCAATTAGTAGGTTTACTTGGGACTTTAATAAAGCAGCAAGTAAACATAATTATTTTGTTCGATACGAAATGATAAGGAAAAAACTTGTGTTTACACTGTCAATAAAATCTAATAAGAACGAAACTGGTATAGAATAAAGAGATTAAGCAACCGGCGAGTTATCATTTAATTATTAAAATCAATACGAGAACGAGAACTATAAAAAGTAAATAAACCCAATACGTCCACGATGGTCGAAGCAAATACTTGTACGTAATCAAATCAAATCTAAAGTGCAAATTCAATTGATAAGAAATCTACTCACATAACATAAGCAAACCTAATAATAGCCTTAGTTTGGGATCCGAAGGGCAAATGAAATGAAGACGTAAGCATTAGAACTTTTTTGTTAAACTTCATCGAATTATTTTAAGTGCTCCCGCCCACTAGTTTTTCCGGCAAAATGCGGATTTAGTTCTATTTTTAAATGTATTTTACAATGTTTCATATTTATTCTACACCATGAATGTAAGCTGTAACCAGTGCCTGACTGATAAGATTTAGATACAACAAAAAAAAAAGTTTACAATATTGCTGGCAAAGAGTTAATTTAAATGAAACTAGTTTAGTTAATCATTGGGCGTAGCAAGCGTAATGTTACCGCTGCCTCTGCTGCTATCGAAAAGGAATCTGCAAGAATAGGCTTAGCAGTGAATGAGGGCAAAACGAAGTAGATTTTATTTACCTTGGCACCGCCGTAACGAACACTAATGATGTTAGCCTGGAGCTCAGATGAAGGATCACCATTGCAAATAGGTGCTACTATAGGCTCAGTTGGCAATTGGGATGTAGAGCTCTCTATCTCTCGACAAACTAAACTTACCCTTTATAGGTCGCTTATCCTTCCTGGTCTTCTGTATGGCGTAGAAGCGTGTATGTTATCACAGAATGATGAAGTAACGCTGGGAGTGTTTAAGAGAAAAGTTCTTCGTAAGATCTTTGGTCCTCTACAAGTTGTCGACGACTACCGCATACGAATGAACCACGAGCTGTACGAGCTATATCACGACATTGATTTAATTCAGCGAATTAATATCCAACAGCTTCGCTGGCTTGGTTATGTTATGTGATTAGAATGGACTAAGATGCTCCAGTGGAAAAGATGTTTAAAGCAGTAATTGACGGAAGAAGACGTAGAGGTAGACAATGATCAAGTTGAGGGAGCACTAACAGAACTTGATGTACGAGGCTGGAGAAGTCGCACACGCAGCACAGGCACCTGGGGAGACATGGGTCAGGCCGAAACTTGGTAACGGGTTGTTATGGCCAAAAAAGTAAATAAGTAAGTTTAGTTAATAAAATATCTAATAGCAATTATTCTAAAATTATTGATATTTCATTAAATTTCAAAGAACCAAAACAATCCAGCCAACTATATTTCTCTAAAAACCTTAAAGATTTTAAAACCTGTTAGAAAATAAAAATTTCCAAGACAAACTATCTTACAAACAATAAAGTTATAGTAAAAATAAGCTGCAATTCAAAACTGTTAGGTCGCTCAAAGGAAAAGGAAAATAAGTTATTTCATCCCATATCAAATTCAAAATACGGCCTCTGCAATTGATTATACAAGGCAGAGAGTAAGGATGAGTAGATATTGATTGGAAACAATTTTCAAGACTACGAAACATCCGACAATATACCGGAATACAAAATTTTTGCAAACTTATAGATGTGGTTAGAAACATATCAGCATTCTACACAGATCAGCAGAATATATTTCTAAAAAAAATTCTAAATATACAACGATTAGAAAACTTCGACGTCAACGTTTTACGGTGACAGACTTAAATCCTTAAAAATCCTTAAAATTTAGCTAAGCAGTAAAAATAATGCATGTCTTTTTATGTATTTTATACTACTCTTTAAAATCAAAATGTTATGAAATGAAATGAATATTATCCAATGCTCGAAAGATTTTTAGTGTGTAAGTCAGCTCATCTTTTCTTCATTGTTTATCAATTAAGTGCTCATTTTAGTTCCTTCAGATTTGATAATCACTCGCCAACACTCGATTTTAATCGGAAGTCTTCATATATTCGAAGTTTATTCATTCATAATTCATGCACACGTTCAAACGAGTATACAATGATTAGTTCACATAGAAGCAAAGACATAGGCACTTGACATGATTCGGTTTCCGGTGCGAATATATTCACGAATGCACTCACGAGTGCTTTTATTTATTTTATTAATATTCAATGAAATGCTTTTTAATGCATGTCAACAAATTAACAGACATATTTTTTCCCATACCAATGTTGTGCAATTCTGTCTGAATGTAAGTTCTCTATTTACGCTTGGTTCGAATTTTGTCATTATTTTTTAAGGGTTTAATTAGTGTAGATAAATATTATTTTTAATTTTTTTTTTCTGTTGTCATTATTTTTGTTGTATTCAAATTAATTATTTTATCAACCGATCGTCGGTTCTCGTATACACGATGTGAATGAACTGGCCGAGCGGCGGTTTCGAGCCGTAAAGGAGCTGTGCCGAATCGATTAGGTGTCTTCTTAACTGCTGTTGACTCGACGCTCGCACGGTCGCTCACAACCGATCGCGATTGGCACACTCGAGTAGATTTGCTTTTGTTTTGATTTTGTAAAACAAGCGAAAAGCGAATAAGCGAATAAGCGATTTTAACCTTTTCTTGTGTAGAAATTTTTAGTTTTGTTCAAACGAATTTTTAAATTCGTACCGAGCGTACATGGCGGAGTGAGATTCGCAGTGAATTTTTCTGATTAAGTTTCATAATTAAAATTAATTAAATTTTGTTGTTAAAAATGTAAATTTAATTTTGTTATTGTCTGAATTGTCTGTGCCTCATAAATTAAAATAATTAAAAATGACAGAAAATTAAGTAATTTCGTTTTATAATTGCCAGATTTTGTGAATTGGTGTGTATATACAATACTTAACGAAAAAGATCGAACCTCATGATTCTTAATATTATTTAAAAAATTATCGATAAATAAAACTTTCAATGAAAGTTTCTATCGATATTTAGGTCGGATTTATGACACTCTCGGGAACAATAAAAATAATGGTGAAGAAAATAATTCTAATGTGTGTGGCTAACCTATATATTAAAGTGCACCTGTGTGTTTAATAATTAGTAAAAATTTGATTAATTCTAGTAGCGATGCTTGTCTTGTAGACAAAAAAGTTCTCCTTCCTTAGAAAAGTTCGATTACAGCCTCAGGACCAAAAGTTGTTATTGACACCACATATTGTAAAGATCTAAAGTAAAGCTTTAGTATATTATACATACAATACTTACATATTTTAATAAAATTTACACTATATAAAGAATCGTAGTACTTACTTTACTTTCATATATTTTCGCTAGTTTTTTTTGGTTTTTGCCTGCACTCCGACAAGATTATAAAAGGCAGGAAATATAAAAAATAGACGGTATAGTCCTACATAATTTATGTGCTTTTGAAATTTTCAGTCCCTTAAAATTTGCATGATCAGATGAATGATCATTAGAAATGAAAACATATAGACTGAGATATATTTAAAAGACTATTATGATTTATTATTTTGTGCTTACACCGATATATCTTTAACTAAAATATATCTTATATATTAGTTCTAGATATTATGATAAGCGCATTACATATAAAAACTTTTAAAATTTGAATTAAACCAAAAAGGAAAATATAATATACGATTTTGTTTTATAATAAAACAGAAAAAAAATAAATAAATAAATTAATATGAGTAAAATTAATCAAGAGCAAAAAATTGAAAATGAACACCAAAGAGAACCACTTATTCAAAAGTCACTGGAAAACTTAGACTTTCCATATGCTGACGATGAAACCGCCGATAGTGTGTCTAAAACGTCAACACATAATGGACGTAAGGCCTCTTTAAGCGAAAGAAGAAATGTTGATCTTTCAATTTTGATAAACATAGATGAAGATGAGAAAAAAAATGGAAGTCGGGAAAGCATACACAATTCTGCAGAGAACATAAGATTACTGGACGGCGCACACGAGCAGGATTCAAGCATAAGTAGTTATTGCAGTGGTTGTATAACACCTGAAGTCATCATTAATACAAATAATATTGGAAGGAATCTACGCAGAAACTCAATTTCAATGCCATCGGGTATAAATGCGCTGGAAATCGAAGCAATACGTTTGAAATGTCAAATGCAAGAACAAGAACCATTAACGGAAGAAGAGAAAACCGATAGCCGTTCTGAAAGTGTAAGTACTGTAACTTAATTTATAAATACTAATGACTTAGATTAATGTCGAAATTAAATGTAAATATATTAACATATATAATACGAGTATTGCTTAGAATACATTGTTTTCTGAGCTACAAGTTAGAACAATATGAAGCAATTGTGAAAAAGTGATCTGATATATATCTGCATTTGTTCAACGTACTCAGGTAGAATAATTTATACTTGAAATTGATTTTAATCCGATTAAAATATATGTTAAAATTAAAACGAGTATTTCACATTTGGGACACAATGAAGAGAATGTGACTTAGTCAGTTGAACTTTCTCACAGCTCCACATTGTTAATGAGCTGGTGCTAATAGATTGAAGCTCAGTCTTTATTGAGCAGATGTTTTAATTATACAGGCTTTGCATAACAAAAAAGATAAATATTATAAATTAGCAGTTTATAAAAACATCAAATGATTTTACGTAAGCCAACTTGAACTCTAACCACTGTTTTCCCATTTCGTTGCTAAAAACAGGTGGCAGGTCTTTGGCTACTTTGTCGAGCATAATTCACACTTCTTCAAGTGACGATTCCAAATTTTTGTACAGAATTAATACATTCGAGAGGCTTCAGTTTTTTTTTTTTTTGGTAACAAAGTTTATCATGTGACTAACAAAAAATTAATAACAAATTATTTACACAAAAACTGTAATAAATTGAAAAAATCTCGCTTAATCCGCAATGAATTGTTTTATTAAATTTTTACTGCTTGAAATTTTTTTTTTATTATGCGGCAACTGTTCAGGGGCGTGCGTAATGCCTTGATGACTTGAATAAGGCCTTTCGCAGTTTCGTGCTTGAATTTATAATGAATGACTGGGAGGTAAAACAATAAAAATGTATTATTAATATTTCAATTTTATTGTTGTTA